GTCTAAACTGGAAGTCACACAATAACACAAAGAAATAGATTTGTGAAGGAGTCTAATCATTATATTTAATGTTAAAGTGTAGTGTTAAAGAGTGGGGACGGGCTAAAATCATATTTTTTAGGTTTTCTAGACAGTTTTCATTCAATTTTTACATGATGTGTCTTCAAATTGCAATTAGAGCAACGTGAAGGACATTTTGTTTGATAATATGATGCATTATAAAGAGATCTGAACTTCTTCTGTGTGTGCTCTTTAACTTCAGTCTGATGATGGTATTTTAATTTCAATCCTGATATAAATACAGTGATAGTGACTTAGATTGCTGCCTTCCTGCTTAATGACCATGGACTTGATATGTGGAATATCAACAACACAGGAAATTTCATATGTCTGCTGCTCATTTCTATTCACTGAAGTCCTGAAACAGAAAACAAAAAAGTATTTCAGCATAAGTTAAAAACTTTTGACCTCTTCCGATATGTAATAAGATGATGAAGACAGATATAAAAACAACACAGTTTGTGGGCTAATATGCAACTCGTGTTTTAGGGCACTGTAGAGGTTCACAAACAGTCATATCTTTGTCTCTTTCAATCTAAGGGGACGGCTCAGACACTAGACACTATTCTGCCTGCAGGCTCCACGGTCTGTGGACCTCAACTGGGCTATCCAGGGAAATTACCCCTTTTTACATTAAACATGGTCATATGATCACCAAAAAAAAGTGCTGCTCACAAAAGGCTTTTCTTTATCTGCTGAGAACTAAATTAACATTCTTGATTATTCTCATAGGCATTAAGGTGAAATGAGGAGCAAACTACTGTATGTTTCTGTCAAGTCTCTTTTGCAGTTTTTAATCCATTTAACAAGGATATTTTCAGTTCGGTCTTCTTAGTGTTCAGCCAGCTGTGTATTTACACAGAGATTCAGTAACGCATCAGTCCGGTTCAAAAACGGAACTTTCTACTGGGGTTTTGGGGTATCAAAGCATCACAGCAGAGTTATTTTGAGGCAGTTATTTCACGACTTTAACTGTATCAGAAAAAATACCTTGTGACCTCAGTGGTGGGAACAGCTATGCTCAGCAGAGGTGGCGGTACTTAATTAAAAGTAAGGGTACTCAAGTGGACAAAAATCAGAACTGCCAGTACTCGGTACTGCTGAGGCCCATTTCAGGCACTGCTTTTATTAAAGCTAGGGTAGGTAATGTATTTTAAAATTGTTGTATTTGTTGAAATTCTCTTTACATCCTGAAAGAAATCAATAAATCAAATGCACTGAAAAACAAAGAAAAAAAATCTGGTAACTGTAGAAGTAGACCTGCCTGTCTATCTCTGCACACTCTGCCCCTGCACCCACATGACCGGAGTCTGACACAAGCTGGCCAGGCAGATATTGCTAAAGTCACAGAGCTAGTTGCACAAGAATGGCAGAGAAAGAGCAGCCAAAATATACAGTTATATATATATATATATAGCAGTGTACTAGGTTATTTTGGTTTTATACACTTCCAAAATCTAGCCATCTCTTGCTAGTTTATCCCATATAACCTAAATAAAGCAAAGTGTTCACTGGTTATTGAACTCATTTTAAGTTCTGTAGTAGTAAGTAGATACTCAAACATTGTCCTTTAACTGTGACGAAACCGCTAAGTGAATGTGACTGAGGCTCATTAGATATTTGGAACATATCTGAGACAATATATGCCAATAGTCAATAAGAAGTTATGTGTTATGACAAACTTTTTCTGATCATTTTTATTATTGAGAGACATTTCTGATATTCAGTAGTCTCATGGACTTTACTGCAGTTAGTTTTAAATCTCAATAGTAGCTCAAAGAACCAGTGTGTAGGATTTAGTGGCATTTAGTAGTGTAGTTGCAGATTGGAACTCCATCGCTTCACCCTCCCTTTCTAAGCCCAAAGGCGAAACTTCGGTGGCTCTAAAAAAAAAATTGAAATACAAGAACGCCACAATCTAGAGCCACTGTGTAGCATATCCCTCCTGTCGAAACATGGTGGTTCAACATAGTGAACTCCATAGAAGGCGACCCACAGATTCTGTAGATATAAATGGCTCCTTCTAAGGTAACGAAACCAAACAGTAACTATAATTCGGTGATTATAAAACCTACAGAAAACATAAGCTATGAATACTTATGATTCCATTTTCTGCCAATAGATCCTAAACTAAATGTTACACAGTGGACCTTTAAGAGTTGACAGAAAAAGACCACAAGAGCTGGAAAAAACATTCAAGTAGTTTCAATTAGGGTCAAGGAGCAGGTATTTCTCAGCAATCTAATAAGGAAAGTATGAGAGCAAAGAATAGAAGCCTTTGAGAAACTAGCTGGACAGAAGTCTCCTTCAGATTTTTCCTTTCTGTCTTTCACACACCCACACACACATACTGTATAGCCACTGCTGCGCTCCACTATGAGTAGCACTAAAGTTGTTTGTAACTACTGTTCTTTATATTCCTGTTAAATATCCATAATGAGCTACTGCTACATAATTACAATAGTCCATCAACAAGTGTTTATTGTTATTATGTTTTTACATGAGAAATAATGTGGAGTCACTATTTTTTCTTCAATAAATACAGTACATGACAATGTGCAGGACAAACATTTGGCATGTGTGCATGGTAGGTTGTAGGAAGGAACCTAGTGGGATCAAAAAAAAAACAACAGGTTCATTTCATGTTCACTCCACTTCATTCTTAAGTCTTCTGGAGAGCAGAATAACAGACCTAATATCAATATAAAGGATGAAATGTTTCATCAATGAGAAATCAACATCAGTTCCATAATCTGCCTTAACAGAAGCAAAGTGGTTAAAAAAACACACGTCTTATGTTGTGTCTTATTATACTTCATGGAAGGCACTTTCATTAGCACCTTTTTTTAATTCTCACTCCCACAGGCTGAATCACATGCAGCCTCAGCAGGGTACAGAAACATCCTTTACAACAACCCCTAATCAAACAGGTCTCTGATAAACCAGACAACAATGCCTCGTGGCTCAGGAACAGCAGAATAAAAGAGCAAACAATAGAGACCAGTGTTAACCGACAGAATATAATCAACAAAGTAAATAGTGGTTCCCTTTTTTGGTATTTTGTAGTCCTGTAGATGTACCAGCCACCTCAGTCTATCTTAATATCCAGTGATTCTCAGCACGGTAGAGTCAACTGTCACAAAGTGTTTTTAACATTCAGATGTGTACAGCCTCTCCTGAAGGGTGCGCACCACTATCTGCTGTCTCTCGACATAAACTCAGTCTTGAGGTATCTGAATCAGCTCGTGCCAAGCGTGAAGTATCCACTCGTGATCAGTCTGCAACACTCATATTGTTTTGTTAACCATTCATCTGTATAAAACTGTATTTCACATTCATCAGGCAGCTTGGGAGCTTGATCAGCATCACACAGGTGGAACAGGGTTGTCGGGGTCGGAGCTGACTGGATGAGGTGTGTCGGGTCCTGTGTTGGTGTAGATGCTCTGAGGAGATGAGATGTCCAGACTGGAAGAGAGGATGTTGTATGGCAGCTCCAAAGACTGGCGGATGCTCTCTTCATATGTTGGAGGAGGCTGAAGGAAAAACAAGACTTTTAAGAACAGAGTTGAAAATACACTTAGTGGCCACTTCATTAGGTACAGTCGAACAGCCCGTCTTTTTATTACGTCTTATGTAATAACTCAACAAAATGCAATACATTTCCACTACATTATATAATAACATCTGCATTTTGTAACAATCTGCCACATTACATTACAGTACATTTTTGTACTGAACCCAGTATGATAAATTATTACATATTGTGGTGGCTATTATAAAATGTGGGAGCACTTTTGAATAAGCTGAAGCTTTTTGATGGAGTTTTAGGGGAGCACTGTCAAAAGACCATTGCAGTAGTCAGCCCTAAAGCTTGAATGAGTTCTTCCAGGTTGACATTTGTCATAAAGTGCCTGAGTTTGGCTGTATTTGTAAGATGATAACAAGCTGATTGTGTTACTGCTTTTATGTGGTTATTTAGACTAAAAGCAGTGTCAATTATAACACCAGGGGGCACCACAGGGCATAGGAGTCTAATTTAATATTTGGGAAGTTCAATTTAGGTTGACAGTTAAAAATATAACGTGTACAGTTTCAAATTGTTACAAAATATGGATGATTATTACATAAGGAAGTGAAAACTTTTTACATTTAGTTATTTATTACATAATGAGTTACATATAATGTCCACTATCACACATTTGAGCTACCTCTCAATGTAATGCAGTTCAGTACAACAACACCTTTAATAACACCTCAATAATAAACATATAATTCAATTTACACATTTCCAACAATTACCAAAACCTGAACCTTGTTATCTTTGTAACAATAGCATGGTTATTGTATTGTATTGTTAAAGATTAGATTATAATGGCACAGGTACAGTGGCAGGTGCACTAATCAATATTTTTCGTTAACGGTGGATTATATTCCATTTTTTTATGTTTATATGAAAACGGTTGATTACAAAAAAAACGATGTATCACATGACTGTGTGTTTAATGCTGGACCTATAGAGAATCACGAAGTGATTTAGCGTGTTTCCGTTTGTTTTGGTTTTCACACCCTGCAGGGGTTTCCTCTCATTAACCTTGTTTACAGCCATCACAGGTAGCTGTTTTCACTGTACACTCAGCACCAAATGGCACACAGTCAAAGACATCATAGCTGGTGAATATAATGCAGCATTTAGAACCACATATTTCTGTCAGGAGATGGTGGAGACCAAAATCAGAGCTAAAATATGAGTGAATATTGGATTTACTGGTGTGTCTGCTAAATGTGTAAATAGGCAACCTTTTGTACACATGTCCACCATGATAACTTTAGAAGGAAATATTGTGTTTCCAGCTTGTTGCAATGCAGTGGTAAATAAAAACCAGTTAATGCAGGTTCAAGGAAAGAAATTAGAAGTCGAGTTCACATATTGCGATTCTTACAAAGTTTATATGGAGCTTTTCACTCTTGCTACCTGTTTAATAAAGTGTGTGAAGCCGTTTGAGACTATTACTGTACATTTTTGATAATAGAAAAACAATATAAACACTAATTAACACAAAAATTAAAAATAAGAAGCAGACAAGACGGATGTTATTTCCCAGGATGAGTGCGTTGCTTGGAAAACATCCTGAGGTCTGATATCTCTCCCTAAAAGTATGTGAAATATGTTTGTATTTACATTACCAATTAATCTGTCTACACGCCAGACGCTTCTAACATATTTTTCTCTTTCTGATCACATCTGGCAGATTCACACTCCCTGACTCAGTCTTCTTATCTTTTAATTGCTTGGGGACCCTCAGGAGACAAGAACAACCCTAACCCTGCCCCCTGTCTGATACAAACACACCCCACACACACATCAGGCTGCAAAGTTTTACTACTACCCTGCCTCAGGCCACAGGACAGACAGGGGTAAATTAAGGGGACATCATTTGAACTCCTAACACATTCTTAAAGGACCAGTGTGTAGGATGTAGTGGCTTCTAGCAATGTAGCTGCAACTCCGTCACTTCACCATCCACTTCCAAAGTAGCACAAAGGAGAAACTACGGTGGCCGAGCAACGCACGGAAAACTTGAATGCCCCTGTCTAGAGCCACTTGGTTGGTTTGTCCCTTCTGGGCTACTGTAGAAACATGGAAGGTGTAGATATAAACGTCTCATTCTAAAGTAACAAAGATATAACGATTCCTATATTCCGTTGATTATACACTAATGAAAACACAGTTGTATCATATTCCATTCATGCCAATAGATCGTAAATGTTACACACTGGACCTTTAAAGGGGGGAGGGTGACTTTTAAGTGACCAGTGATGGGTTGAATGGGAAGAACTGTGTGTGAATGTGTGTGTGTAAGAGATGGGCAGTCATGCTAGCGACTGTTTAATTAAGAAAAAAATGGGAGGTCAAAGAAGGAAAAAACAGTAGAAGACAGGAGCACAAAGCTGCATTCCCGGGCACTGTTTGCACTCAGGATGCAGGCTTTAATTATGTTTGATCTGCCTTTTTCTCATTACCTTGTTTGCTCAAGCGTTGTGGGAGTCAAAAGCTCAGCGAAAGATCAACACGGTAAAACCTTGAAACGCGGCTGCCAGCGCAATTCAGCAGTGAGCATTAGATGAGCCGATAGCACGTCCTGTTTACTGCACTCTGAATGTAGTCTAATCTTTGAACAAGCTCTTGTTACAATATTGTATGACAGTGTGGTCATAATAGATATAGCCTACCTCATAATATCTCCATTCATTGTGATACTACAGATGAGCAGCCTCCATGATACGATGAGTTTATATGAGCCTTAGCATTCTTTGAAACTGTAACAGGAGTAAAATATCTTCCTTATTCCCAGGCTTAACAAAAGCACCTGAAACACTTCATTGTCAACGCATTTGTGACTGTATCAAATGCTGTGGCACAGTCCTAATCCCTAATTTGGCCTACCTCGGTCACAATGGGCCCATTGAGGCCGAAGCGGTCTGCGATCATCATGTGGATCTGCCTCTGGCGGTCCTTCTTTCGGACACTCTCGTAGGAGGGGAGCCTTGGCAGGGGGGCCTCCAGTGTGGGCAGGCTGTAGCTGGAGGGCAGGCCGACGTAGAAAAGCTGACCTGCCTGCTGAGACACACACAGAGGGACGGTTATATGGGACAGGAAACAGAAGCTCCGAATATACCCCATCACTGAAACCCACTTTGAACCATAACACAGCGAGCTGCAGTCAATGCACACATTCACGTCAGAGCCACTGTACAGTATGTGCCTTTATTAACTGCAATACAGGAAAGGAGGCCGCTGCTTTGTGGGGCTAATAGCTGATGATGCCAGTCACTCTCTCACCTGAGTGTCGTCCATGATCTGAGTCTGCTCGAGACAAGGAGACCCCACCAGTGTCTGCCTGCTGCTGTAGTACTGAGGAGGAGCATCCTGTAAAACAAGCAGTCACAAGTGTGTCTTAGAGAGCAGAGTCTTGGTTACTAATTAAACCGTTACAAGCATTTATCAGTTTATATCTTAACTAGATGTTCTACATAATGGTTCCTTGTTGCCTGTCTGCAATTAGTCAGAAATCCACACATTTCAGCCTAATTTACCAATTTTCATGCCTTGTTTAATCACTGTAGACACTGGCTGGTTTAGCAGTACCATAAATTATCTAATCAATAAGACGAACACCCTCCAATTTACGTGCCTCCTCCCTGTCCCACCCCCTCTAAAACAAGAACTGTCAGAGTCTCACTGTATGAGGTGCAGGAATCCTGAAAAAAAGACTGCCAGGAAAAATAGGTAATTGCCTTGGGTCTAAATGAGTCTCCTTTGTGCGGAGAACAATGTGGTGTCCTACTGTGTCATCAGGGTCCCTAGGCAACAAACCACACCGTGTGGTCTTTTCAGCGTCTCTCTATTCCCCTTGTAACTGCAGCAGGTACCTCTTAACGAGCACACTCCAATACACATTATGGCCTCGTATGTCATTTGGGCCGGCATTACAACAAAGTCAATTTGTTGCCTGACTGAGATTTAAATCCAGTGTGAGGATAAGAGATGTTAAGGACAAGATGATGAAGGTTTCCTCCGACAAAGAGGCAACAAAAGTGGGAGCTCAGCATGCAATAACACGGAGTAGTATAGAAATATCAGATTTTTCATTTTCCCAGGCCAGTTAAACGGTGACATCACTCACACTTAGAGTGACGCACTCTAACGACCTTTGCCATAACCCTCACATCATTTCAGAGAGAGAGAGAGACGACACCAAAAAGGTGATGTCAAAGGTCACTTTCCCTCACTGGTTTGTACTTTTAAGAGACAAAAAAAAAGTCCTCAGGAAAGAGAAAAAAAGGAGACTTGTCTTTTTGTCTCCTGCCATTGATTCAGCCAGTGTGAAAAAGCACAACCGTGTAAAATCAGTGTTGAAGTCGGGGGAGGACCCCAGCGGCAGTGTGCCTTTTTCACCGCCACAAACCTAAAGGAGATCCATTGTCCCCCTTGTGTCCCCAACACCCACAGTGGGGTCTGCCCACCATTCATGGTGCAAACTGAAGCAGGGAAAGGTATGTGACTATGAAGTTGAAGACATGAAATGTCCCACAGGAACACAATAAAAGAGTGTTTGTGTGTGTTTCCCTTAAGGAATGATTTAAATTCTGTCTCCTTATAATAAAAAGAAAAAAAAAGCTTTTTCAATCAAATGTCAGTTATATGTTCAGGAAAAATCTGCCAACTCTTACATATATTAATCATCCTACAACAAATGAAACTAGCAGTATGGGTGCTGGCACTCACTGACCTGACAGTAAGTTAGTGCCGTTGTCTTATCAGGCACAGCGTGTATGGATACAGCTGTAACTAGAGGTCAGCATGGCCAGTTCGTGCAAGTGTAACGCTCTGTTAGTTCCTTAAATGGCACAACAACAGAGCTTCTCCATTAAAAGCGCAGCCGAACAGAGCTTCCTGTCTGTTGAGGGGGAGTTCTGTCTCTGCAATCCGAAGATAACACTGAAACTTCACCCCTGGGACTCACAGAGGTGAGAAACAAGTCAGGAAGAGGAAGCCGAGAGAATGGGGCAACCAATGAAAAGTTACTTCTGTGAAGTGTTTACATTTCCATTTCAGCTCATCCTGCACCATCGCCTGCAGCTTTTTACACACAGTCAATCTTTAGTAGATAGAGAGATATGTGGTGCTGAATTTCAAAATGTGATTAATAATGATACAAAATGCCACATGCTCCCTTAAAAAAAACTAAAAGACTGGGTTGTTCGGCTGTACCTGCTATGCCAGTGAAACAAAATCTGATTTTGTAATGATTTAATTACACTGGTGCTGAACTAGCATCAATATGCGTGTTAAGTGCTAATTCTGTCCAATTCCATTAGAGTTACTGTGGCACTCAGAGATATCTCTGGAGGGCAGCTAATTTAACTGAGGCAAATCTATTGCCTGACAATGATCATATCAAGTTTATTTTGGTCCTTTTTTCCACAGCCATGCAAATTGAATGTGACACTTTTTAATGGCGCTACACTGGGTGCACACAGTGTCTTTGTGCCTGGGTCCTCTTTCTCTCTCAGTGAGATCTCACTCACTGAACATACAGGTCACTTTAAAAAAGGAAAACTCAGCACAAAAGAGACTTTCTTCCTTTTGTTTTTTTCTCTCCAAGAGCTTACCATATCTGCATGTGGCCCCTGATAGGAGCGCAGTTTGCAGCACTGAGGATCCTTGCGGTAAATAATGGACAGCAGCACCACGATAACCACAAAGAACACCAGAGAAGAAACTGCAGGAGAGACGGGAGTGTTTGTCAATCACAGTTCAACAGACGCTGTGTCTTTTCTGGCTTCATCATGTAAAACAACTTGTAAAAGAACAACATCAGAACAGTTTTTTAGCAGTTTAAATCTGTGAATTTGTGAAGTTTAGTAAATGAAATATAAGTTGATACACTTTGAACACTTTTGATTGACAGTCTTTTTCTACCATTTAAACACACACAGGTATAATCTCTCTTCTTTTCCTCTGCTTGTCTATCAAAAACATTGACAGCTTGAAAATAATAGACCTGATAGACTAATTGTCATTAAGTATAATTATGATTTAAAGCTTTGAGTGTAATTTGGGACAATCAAATTAGCTGCTATCTCCTGTCACCACATGTGGAAGATGAAAAAAGAAATGATCTAGTACAACCCTTATCATAATGCTGCAATGTGGCTAGATTAAGTGCAAATACTGCTCAGCAAGCACACAAATAATGCTGGATATCATATGATTAAAATGACACATTCTAAAGGATATCGAGTACAATCTTCTTTATTTTTAATATTTTCTGACAGTTTAAAGGTTTCACTTACAAGACGCAGCGACCACTGTGAGTTGATCCGATGTCAGCTGTGAGGAGGGAATGGTTGGACTTGCAGTTGTGGACATTTCTTCTGTGTAAACTGTTAATGTTCCCTTTAGAAATCCTCCCGAACTCATCAAACTCAACACAAAGGCTCTCATCTTACATCTCAGAGGGGAAGAAACGGAGACCGGCTCTGTTGCTCTTCTTCATGGTCCCGGACACGGTGACAGTCAGTCCACATGCTCCCCCAAGTCGGATCAAACTCTCCTCTCGGTAAACATGCCTCAGAGTGTGAGATGAGCCCGTGAAGGCGCACTGACGCCCTCTCCTAACCGCGTGACGTCGCTCTGGCTCTGCGCTGGACGGTGCTTTGGTTTATGGGTTGGCACCGGCAGGGAGCAGCGGGCCACTAAAGCCAGGGGACTTATTACTTAAGCTAATTGACATGGGTTGTTTAATTCACAAAAAAGAAAACCTTATGTGCATGTCAGGGGGGATTTCTCACATGGAAAAACGCTCCCCTCCCCAAAAAAAATAAAAATACAGCAATATGTGTGATTTAATATCCATGCGTAATGTCAATATATATCCGATATTCCTTATTACAAACGGTCCCAGTGATGTTTGCAAAGTAGACAAGTGCTGCTTCCTCCGCCGTCTATAATTAATCCACCCAGACCAGTAGCACACTGGATGCCTGAGCTGGACTCCCGTTACCCTGGAGACTGTGGGGGTCCCGTCCTGAGATGATTTCTATACAGACAAAGAGCCTAAATGTAGCATTAGAATTCATAGACGGGAACTATGTCAAATATGCCTTCTTATTCAGCTTAAATAGCCTTCAAACCGTTATATTTTACCATGTTTGAATCTTAAGCTTCGCACAGCATGTCTGTTAATTATAGGGCATGATGTGACATGAGAAATGTTCCTGATTTTTTCGTTTTATTTTTATCAGAAGTGGCTATGATCTTAATCTTAACTCAAAGTTGATCAAATCTTAAAGAGCTGCATAAGGCAGCAGTAAAGAACCTGCCAAATTCATGTGAGGAAGCACTGATCCCTTATCATGAAACATATATGTATATAAAGAATTACACGTTTAAAAAACAATAAGTTAACATAATGTGGATGATTAAAACATGCTTCATTTAACTTATGTGTACTGGAGGGACTCAATGAGAATATGTTATCATAAAACGTCTGTAGAAAAAGTTATTCATGTGGAGGCAACATCAAACATGGGCTAAATTATTTTGGTCCTCAGAGAATGAAATAGTTCAGAAACATTACATCACTACTGTTTGATTTACTTAGAAAGAACTTCAAATGTTATTTTCTTTTATATGATTTATTTATGAATCTACAAAACACTCTAAATCAAAGAGATAACATATTAAAGTGAGGATGTTTTCTTTAAAAATGGTCCCAAAATGTTGAACTGTGTTTGTTAGTCTGTCTGTGTATGCCACTTCATACATATAGGCCTACTATATTCTTTAAGATATCAGTGAGGTGCAAATCCAACAAAAACAGTGATGTGTTATTGTTGGATTTGCACCTTACTGATATCTTACATGTACACATGTGTTCTACAACAGTAAATAAAGTTAATACTTTTATTAAAAGTTAAAACTCTTTTATCTTTACTTCTGACCTGGGAGAGGGTCACCCACCCCCATGTGCTCAAACTGAAAAGAAACGACTACAAAGTTAAAACTGAACTAATTTATATCATATATATACTGATTTATATTATATATTTTCTATATATAACTATTATATTTGGAGACAAACTTTCTGCAGCAACTTGAGGATGTAGAGCGACACCGCGTGCGCGCGCAGTTCAGAATGCGCCCTGCACGCGCTCCCCGTCATCTGGAGTCGAAAAAATGGTGGCCAGCGCGCGAGTGCAGAAGCTGCTCCGACGGTATAAACTAGCGATTGCCGCCGCTTTAACTATCCTCCTGGTCCAAGGGCTTGTGGTATGGAGTCTGAGGAGTCTGGAAGAAGGCGAGGCAGAGGTGAGTCCACGGTCCCGGCGGTTATTTCTGTCTCCAGGGTGATTCGGTTTGTGTTTAATTGAAGAGCTAGCCGTTAGCGCTGCGCTTAGCTCGCGGTGTGTTATGATACAGTGACGTTAGCGACGTTAGCCGTTGGAGAACAGCGCTGCTCACTAACGTTTCTAACGGACAAGCCCCGTCTGTCTGTCTGTCTGTCTGTCTGTCTGTCTGTCTGTCACTGACCACAGCAGCAGCAGCAGCAGCAGCAGCAGCTCAGTGTGGTTGTACTACAGTCTCTGGTACTCGCAGTACTCTGATAATATATTAGTAGTGAACTTGTTCGCGGAGCAGCGCTGATCTTATGGCTGCTGGTTGTCGTCACACTGTGTGCTGTTAACACAATGTGACGGAGAGAAGAGAGGAGAAGAGAAGAGAGGAGAAGAGAAGAGAGGAGAGGAGAAGAGAGGATGTCTGCGAGGAGATGCAACTTTTGGTTTTTTGGAAACACGTGAAAGCATTACGTTATTATTTATTGATCGGTAACAGTTGATCAATACGAGCTGCCCATGGTTATTATGTATTCTGTCTATCTGTTCAACTTTATTTTTATATTCTGGCTCATTTATATCCACCAGAGGCCTTTCTCTGTGGGGGCTGCTCTCTCTCTCTCTCTC